GTAGGTGATGTGCATGTCACAGAATCCTTGGATATTGTTAAGTCCTGCTGGTACCCCATCGTATCAAGCAGCGTAATGCAAAATTGTGACATGTTGCTGTCACATTTTAGGATATCCATATTAACATCCTTGACATATTTGTTGAAAAACCTTATTTTATTTCTGCCGATCGAGTTCCCTTTATCTTTTTTCGATTTCTTTGGGGCTTTTCTTGACTTATCAGACCTATGGGTGTCTCTACAATTGATATTGTAGTCATCTTGTGCGGTTTCGACATCTGACAACGACTGATATTTGTCCGCATTCTCTGAGGCAGACCTTTCTCTGTCAATAAAGAGTTCCGTTTCTTGCCTCTTTAAACGGTCGGCGGCAGTAGGACCGCGTCCAATTGTTTTCTGTCCACTGCTTTGTCGGTTCGCCTCCGCCGCCTCGAGAATAGCTGCAGAGCATTCTGTGGTTACCACATCTAGCAGTCGCTTTCGGTAACCAGTGTTTGCGACTGCTCTGGCGTTTGACACTTCTGCGGAAGAAGCGTTAGTTGTAGAGGTTGAACGGCACCATTTCTGCCATCTAACCCTTCTCCTCCACCACCATGTCTTAAAATTCAACATTTTAGTAGCATCGCTGGCCCGATTCTTTATATGCCTTTCTAACTGGTCCTCTAATTTTTTTGCTTCAATGGAAGTCATTGCATTATAAGCTTCATCCATGATTTTTTCAAACTTGAACAAACTTCGAACTTTTCAAACTTCGAACATCTTGTTTAAAGTGGAATAGGTCTGATATTGTTTTATTTTTTACGGCTCTGCCTTTCACCTGACACAACCCTTTCCAAAGTCCACCGCCCTCATCTCCGACATACGATTCAGGGTCCAATCCCCTGCCAATATAATCTAAGGGGTCAAGTCCATACTCCTCTGCAACTGTAGGGAACATTTTATTGACTGCGTCATCAAATGTTTTTACCATTTTGGCGACATTGGTCGAGTTTTCGCCAGGTTTTGGGCTGAACAAGTTCACCAGTTTAACATTACGCCGTAACAGAGGGTAGTATGTGGTCATTTCCACCTCTGTAAAGTCTTTCGCCAAACTTTCACAACCATCCAGGCTAAGCGGCTCTGTAACTATCCCGAATGTTATTAAAGCTGCGAGTCGTATTTTTGTAGCAGATGACAAAATAACAAAATCATCACCAACTTCCATGATTAAGTTTTCATCCAGGCCTCTCTTAGAAAAGTCTTCTTTTAAATTACGTATCGCTTCAACGTCGGAGCCGCCTGGTCTCTTCTCTTTGTCAATGGTGGTCTTTAGGTATTGGATATGCCTTTGGTTGCTATACTGCGATGCGACGTCATTGACCTCCTCGCAGTTTTTCCCACTCAACAATGCCTCCCTCACTTTATCAACTTGTATTTGCTTGGCGCAGCTTGTTGGTCGCGTTTTAAGATACTCTTTAACGCTTTCTTTGCTGGGCTTACTGTCATCGGCACGTGGAGTGCAATCGTGAGTTTCGACGTATATTACCATAATTTTTTTATGACAACGGTCATTTTCTACATATTTCCTGGCAGAACATTCTATGTGTAGGGCTATTTCTTTGCAGTGGGTACACTTTTTTGACTTTGAGAAATCTACCTTGTTTGTTGTATTCTGTATTTTCTTATAAGTGCAGCCAGGATTCACACATTCGAAGGAACCTTTGCATATTTGGAGAGTCCTTCTACCTGCATTACAGAAGTCCTTTCTTGGGCACGGCTGAGCACGCCCCCAGTTCCAGTTATCCGAGACGGCGCGTAGAGGATCACTTTCAACGTATTTCACCCGGTATTTGACTGGGCCGTTTGGTGCTGGGGGGACCTTATCAACAGATATAGACTCTAATTTATTCACGGCATCTTGGTTTAGGTATGAGCGCTTTCCTTCTTGGTATATGAATTTATCGTTCCTCCTACAGAAAAAATAAAATGCAATTAAAATTTCCAAATCGGGCCCGCGTCTTTGGGAAATCGTGATTCGCTTTTTGGCAAGGTACTATGTGTTTTTCAATAAATGATAATTTGTTGGCATGGGAAATTTTGTAAGATGTAACTTACTCGTCGTCTTTGACAGTAAACAGCCTCTTTGGTTCAACATCAACAAAGCTTCCACTTAAGGATTTCGTAGCTTTTGCAGGACTACTTTCAGCAGAGCTAAGACCACTCATTACTTGTGAAAGTTCATTGACAGTGGTATCCATCTTTAATAAAAGGCATTGGAATTTGTAACAAATTGCATTTAAAACACAGCTGGAAGGGTGCAGCCATAAGCACACTTAGCCTCTAAGTTAATTGTCAATCTTATTTGTTTTATCTACCGAAATAACCTAATTACATCCAAAATACTGAGCGACAAAATTCAGTTTCCGGAAAAATCTTTGTGACAGTGTCCCAGGAATTCGCCCCCCCCCCTCCAATTGTCCGATCGATGCAGTAATCACAAAATTATTCATTGATATTGATTGAAAATAATTGAATTGGTTAGGTAATTCATATATAGATTGTGTTTATGGTATTTAGTACTATACCACAACTTCAGCTAGGCTAAGCTATAAATTTACTATTGTGTTTGTAGAAGAAATATGTTTAGTTTCATTGTTGTTATATTAACAGTAGTCAGTAACACATTTGCCAAATTTGAACTTGGTCACCTTCGCCTTAGCGTGTTGCATTTTCCTATGTTTATACCTCAGGGTATTCGTCCCCCTTGGGAGCGATCCGAAATTCTTGTGAAACATTCAAGATAGTAAAAAGCCCTACCAGCACACCATAACAATTTTATATCGCAAGTTACACACTAAAATAAGAGCTACGCTAAATAACACACAAAGATACTTATGAGGCCAACTCATGGACATGGATTTCATTTTGTTTTCTTTTGGCGACACCATCACTTGCATATACTACAATGGTGGGTGAGAGGTGTTGCACAATCTCCTACCTATAGTATGCCTGTTCGCAGGTTGCCCTTGACGTAACTCAGGGAAAATTCAAAATTGAATAATCTAGTATATTAATCTCAGCAACTTCCACACTTTCCTTTTCCACCATTGAGAAAATTTTCATTCGATCTTCCAAAAGTCATCCCAACCTTCCCAAGAACACACATACTCTGAGTACAAGATTGAATGGTGCACAAACTAGGCTAATTGTGAAATTTTGGGTTGTAATGTAATCCTCAGTTAGCTGAACAAGTTCAGGTAATAACTGTAGCAACAAACCAGTTTCAATGCTTCACACTTCTATGGATTTGTTCAACCTACTTGATTTCGTTTTTTGGTTCTCCTCTGCTTTTTGGCTGGAGTGTTGTTGCAAGAGCTCATATAACTGAGGGTATCACATACATCATCAGTGGAAGAGTCTACCTACAAGTTCGAGTGAGGCAAGGTGTATTAGTAGAGTGAGTGACCACATACTATAATCAGGGTTTGTACACCTTCATACTGTAATTTAAAAAATCCAGGGTTTTCCAGGACTTTTTCATCCTTTTTCCAGGGGTTTTCCAGGGACATTTGAAATATAAATCTATAAGTGTTTAACAGATAAGAAACGTTCGCGACGGCTAGTACTTCATCTTGCACAGATATATTAGGGTTTGTACCAGTTTGAACGAAATATATTCATAGTTTGACTATATATAATGCAAGAACCTTTTGTTCAATCTTTCTTTTTAAGGTATAATCCTACACCCAGCTCAGTTTCTCAGTTTTCCAGGGTTTTCCAGGGATAAATTTGAAATTTCAGGGTTTTCAAGGGTTTTTCAGGACTAAAATAAAGATCCAGGGTTTTCCAGGGGGCATACGAACCCTGTATAATGTAAAGCTTGAGCATAAGATAAACCTGTTGTATTTTCTAAGAAGGCAATCTTGAGATGTATTTAATTAAATTAATTAACTTACTTGTGTTTGTTTCTTCTCTTTTTTACGCTTTCTCTGGATTTTGTGTGAATCACTTTCTTCGCTACTGTCCCCAGACGATATAACCTACAATCATGATATCATACTTGAAATATTTTTAAAATCTGTAACATTTCCCCCCCCCCCCAAGTAAAGTTCAAGGAAATGGCATTTATTAAGATAATGTAGCGTTTAAAATTTGCAGGAAAAATTGTGCCAGAACCCCCTACAGATTTTCACACATTTCACAATTTCAGTGTGAATCCTATATGTCATGCTCTATTGCTCTGTGCAGTAATATAAAAGTTTCCTTACAATATTCCCTGGCTTGTGGGGTTTGCACAAAATTTAAGATTTGGAATTTCTGCATGTCAAAAAGGAAGTGGGAGTGAGTAAGTATGTGTGTATGTGTTGGGGGATCATTAAGGGGGTTAGAAAATTTTAATTTTTAAAAAATTCTAAATCTTACCAGCCCCCCTTTGACATAGTTAACCCATTGAGTGCCAGCGCTCTCCCCTTGACAAGTAAAATCATCTAGCATTAGACAGAGTAAAATAATCTGCCGTTAGACAGAGTAAAATAATAAAGTAGGGCACATCAGGGTGCAATGCAACTCAATGGGTTAATGAGCAGATCCTTAATTAAAATGGCAGGCCATTTCTGTATTGAAATAATAAAATGGGTATAATGTACAAATGTACAATTTTTTTCTATTCACTCAGTCAATGCTGCAATTTATTTAAAAGTTTTTAAAACAATGGAATTATGGAATGTGTAGAATGGAATTGGGACCAGAGTCAAAACAGCAAATAACAATACTTACTACCATATCTGGCCTAGTTGCTGTGTTACACTCCATATCTTCATCCTCATCTGAGATAATTAAAAAAGATGAGCTATTCCATGCATCTTGGGGCCCCCTTTGAGCATAAGGATTCTGGGAATGTTCAGTTTTGACATTATCCAACTACATAAAATAAAGAAGACATTATTATTGATCAGCATTAATCTATAGCACGTCCATATACATGGCGGAGTGACCAACAGATATGTGAAGTGACCGACAGATGGGGATGCGATTTTGGGCAGCTGTCCTTGGACCATTAATTACTGGAACAACTCATGGGGCCAAAAAAATTATCCTGTGGTTCCGATTTCATGTCCTTAAAAACGTATAAACCCACGGCCGTACGCAGGATTTTTTCACCAGGGGGCCATAAGGCCTACATGCCAAAAAAGTCCCAAATATTCAAAGAATAATTAATGACATTCTAAAAATCGTAAACATAGTTTTCTCTAGGGTTGCAGTGCCCCCCCCCCCTCCCACTCTTTACAGGGCTCCCTGCAAATACCGGTATCATATTTCAAAGGAAGCAAACAATTATAGTGTCAAATTTGCACTTTTGTTTATATATTAAAACGGCAAGGATGCCCAGCACAGGTGTTTGTCCCATGCTGTTTCATACTTGCAATCACTTGTGGAAAATCCATGCAGTAAGTTACTCACAGAATGTTTTGTTGTGATGCACTGTAAAGAGATGCTAGAAAATTTACCTGAAACAGAAAATAGTTTCTCATCGGAAATCCTACCATTCCAAGCTGACAGCAGCATATAGTGGCATCCAGTGTAAGCCATGTATATATCCTGCTTGCGATAACCATGGAAGGGGGCAGTTACTGTCTCTCTCTAAAGGGAATAGGAAAACATTGTGACTAAATATGATGGGTTTCCATACTGCATGCATGCATGCATGGAGTGGACAATTAACAGTAACTCATAAGAACTATTCTAGTATTCTAGATCTACTATTCTCTATGTCTTGTAATTATTAACAATAGTTTGATGAGGTCCAGTTGCATGGCAATTTGAACAAATCCTACTTGTCTCTACTACAATTTTTGCAAAAATCATAGTACCGGTACTGTACTTACACCAATCCAATCTATAATGTGTATATTGAGTGAAAAAAGCGAGGCAGCACATCGTATGACCACATCATTGGCCATATCATTGGCCATCTCGTCCCTCAGACCTAAAACTGATTCTTCCCAGGTTGATGGTCGCGTTCCTAGGGCTGAAAAATCAACATCGGAAAGAAAATCCCATAGGTCCTCTGTTGCGAATGAGTCATCCTGCATGAAAATCAATTCATAATTCATATTAGAGATAAATAAATCTGGCATTTTCAAGCACCCATGTATTTTCTTTAAAGGGCAGTCTTTGAAAAGCGATAATTGAAATGCAATAATTTTCACATGCGAGATTATCACTTATCAGTGCTCGAAATCTCTATAAAGCACTATGCTTTAATAATAAATATATCTAAAACACAAGTAGGAGTGTTTTATCAGATATAAAATGCGCGGCGCAGCCAAGTGTTTTATATCTGTTACTGTATAATATAGCATTTGTAAATTCTGAACGCTGATTGGCTAAGAGCCGTGTTGATATAACTCAATGTCAACACAGGGAATTTTCCGCCACTCGTAAACACGGAAATTTTTCTTATCCTTCAGGTTTTTGAATTGCTACATTGTAAAAAAATATAAAACAATTTTTCCATATTGATATATAGTTACATGTATATCAACACTTGTGGGAAAACTCGAATTGTATGAAAACACTCCGCCCTTTGGCTTTGGGCGTTGTGTTTCCATACAATTTCTCGCTTTCCCAATTCCACTTGTGTTGATATAAGTCATATAACTGTATATCAACACGGAAAATGTTTTATATTTGTTAATTAAAAACATGACAGTGAGTGTTTTGAATAGCTTAAAATATGACTACAAAAGATGCTGTCTCATTAGTATTCTTTACAGAAGAATACTATTAAATTTATAGGATGAACAATTATATAATATCACATGTGTTTTATGTATAAATGTACGTATAAATATTAGAATTTACCTCTTTTTCTACTGGAACTACTCGATTTTTTAGCATGTACTTCTCTAGAACATCAATAACATCTGGAACAGCAACTCCTAAATGGTTACCCAAACACTGATAGAAGCAGCGATTCCTTTCGCCGCTTGGATCAAAGTCCAGGGTAAATCCACGCTTGGTCACTTCCAATAGGCACTGAGTACGTCTATCTGCCATCTACGAATAAAAACCCAATGTTTTACTATTAACATAAAATAATAAATAATTCATCACACAAAAATTCATAAAGTCATGAATAATTTATTACACAGAAGATAGAAACGCATTCAAATTTAATGCTTACTTACTTTTGTTAACAGTCTTTTCTAGAAAATAAGTAAAAAAGCACAGGATTGAAGAAGATTCTAAAATTTTTATCGCCCAATCGAGAGTCTAAACGCAGTTGATATCGAGACAAATACGCAAAGAACGAAGCACCGGAAGCGGACCATATTAAGGCATAGAGTGCCCTAGCCACAGAATAGAGAATGCTGCAACCTCTTTCCTAGCCAGTGCGCTTATGAGAGGCATTCACCCCCTGATAATATTCAAAATTGCGGACGTCCAGGGAGGGGATACCTCCCATAAGCGCACTAACTAGCAATGCCGAGTCGATCTTCTAGGTGTCTTTATTCTGTGCCCTAACCTGCGAACTCACCAAACGTTTTCCGACCGGTGCCCAGCCAATTCCTGTGGCTCAAGTTGGGCCACTTTAGTCAAGCCGCAAGAAATTTCACAACCCAGGAGAAATAAAAAAATTAACTTTTCCAAAAACTTTAAAACATTGACTTTTTTCTATGCCTCGCACGCCTCGCTGCCTCGCAGTTTGTCGAGACCCAACAAGCTAACCTGAAAAATGCTTATAAGCTTTTCAAGAATGTCAATCAAGAACGTATCACAAGCTCAGTATGTATTCATAGCATTGATGATGGTGAAATGCAAGGTTTAGTGGAGGGAATAAAAGATGATTATAATGTTAATGATATACCTCCAGAACAGGAGATGCAAATGGTAGAGTGGACGGAGATGGAATGGTGCAATATTTAATAACCTTTATTTATATTCAACAAAGTGCATTTATATTCAACAAATCATATTCACATTCAACAACATTTTATTCACATTCAACAAAACTGTATTCACATTCAACAAAACTGTATTCACATTCAACAAAATTTTATTCAAAATCCCATAGTATTTTCGAGCTCTAATCATACTAAAAACTATATGAACTAGAAGTTACTATCGCAAGGAAATTGCTGCCTCTGCATTTCACATTTCACAGCATGACAACACTCCTCGCACACACCTCAACCAATAAAATTGAATGCAATCAACAACAAAACAAATACGTATAATTAATAACAAACGTCATACAAACAGAATTCCCCCAGCACATTATGAAAT